TCTGAGACCTAAAGAGATGTGTATATTGACCCAGCTAGTGTGAGGTAAAAAGTGTTTGAAGATGGTGGTTGGTATTGCCATATTGAGCCCCACTCTCTCAAGCATGTTGAATAATATTCCTCAAGTGGGTGAATATGCAATATCCCATGTGTGTGAAGAATCTGCAGTAACCTCAGATCAAAGTTTTCCCTTCCTGAATTACAATCTCCAACCTCAAGTTTGACACAATCACCACCCAATCAGCCTATACATAGGTCCTTAGACCCCTGCCCACAAACTCAGAAACATTTAAAATGAGCTGAAAAACTGTTTCACACCTCACATCATTAAAATACAACCAATCACTCCAATATCTTGGGATCATTTTATTTGATTGAAGTGAAAACTTCATCATGAGCTGTAGTGGTGGCTGATTTGGTGTGCTGTTAAACTTGCATGTGCACCCAAACATTTGCAGGTATACTCAATTGATGGTGTTCAAAGTTAAATATGCAAACAATTATGCTTGAATATTTCATCAAAATCAAATCTTGTTTGGTGGTAACTTTGCAGATTACATGATCAGGTTGTCAAGATTCCCTGCAAAACAAGATTTGATCATTTATGAAAGATATATGTGTAATTGTTTGCATATTTAGCTGTGAACACCATAACAAATAATGAGTTACTTGACTTTGAAATTCCTCACTGTGAAAAAATCTTGATTAACTGGCAGCATTTGACATGCAATATTACAAAGGTGCCTTTTTAATATTGCATGTCAACTGCTACCAGTTCAGCAATTTTTTCTTTAGTGCCTGGCTCACTTTTTTCTTTTCATGAGCTTAAAACCACAATCACCAACTAATGAGGCTAGGTGAAGTAATGCAAAAAGGGTTTCAAAGAATGATCTTAGTGGCCCTCAAAAATGGTCTCTACAATTTAGGGAAAAAAATTCATTTCTTTATTTTTGAGGAAGTTTTAGGATTGCTCCAAAAATGAAATATATGCTGAGATTGTTTCATTTCATGAAGGAAGAATGATCATGTATGAAAAGAGAGTGAGAGAAGCGATGTAACAGATCCAATCCCCGGATCGGATCAAAAATAGACCCGATATTGGGTATTGGGATTGGATCAATCTCCAATCCGATAATTTATTGGACAACTGGGAGTGGGCGGAGCGATCCGATCCCAATACCCGGTATTGGGTCTTTTTTTGATCTGATCTGGTGATTGGATCAAATACACTCTGGATTATACCAAAGCATGAGGCACGCATCCCACAGCTTTTGGTTGTTGGATTGGGATCCCAATGTGATCCTGATCCCGATCCGATACCATTTTGATCTGTTACCACAGGATTGGATCGCACTAGCAATCCAATACATTATTTTTTGATACCTGGTATTGAAAAAACAATTCGATCCAATAAATTGGCCAATACCGTATTGGATTGGCTCGGTTTCATTGTTGGTGAGAGCTCACTGCTCAGTGTTCAAATAAAAATAGGAATTTAATTTGAATCCCACACCACAGGTCAATAATTTTCATTCCTGTGCGACAGGCCCACAGTGCAGTTGGGATTGGGTTGGCGCGGGTCGGCCATAACCGGCTTTTCACAAATCTGATGGCGGCTGTGGGCTGTCATAAAATTGAGGTTGGGCCGACCTTTGGATCACCGTGAATACATCAGGATCATCTGCCGTGATCCAAAGGTCGGCCCAACACAAACTGAAGCCAATGATGGCTGTGTGTCGGGCTTCAGCTCAGTGTTGGTGGGGATGATGTCATGCCCAATTTTGTTGGCATGACTTGGATAGGCTTTTTAAAAATAAGTTTTCTGGGCCTCTTTCCATGCAAGAAAGGGGCTACCTATGTTTCAAAATGTAAAAAATATATATATAAAAAACCATTGTCTTCAACAGAAATGCCAAATTTCTGAAGGATATTTAATGGAATTGTAGTTCATACAGCTGTTAATGTGCCCAAGGGGAAGACCAATCTCATAGAGTGGTAATTATGTCCCCTTGTTGATGCCTGATCTGCACTGATCATCAGGCATGCCCAGCACCAGCATGGGCATAGGTTGCAGGTTCGAGGCAATGGAGGAGAACTCTTTTTCTTGAGACCAAGCCTCCCATGAGTTTCTTTGCAACTTGTTATACCCACAAGGGGCCGCTGACGTCTGCTTCTTGTTAGAAGCCGCCACGGTCATGCCCACGACATGATCCGACAAGAGGCCCACATCACAAGTTGGGCTGACAGTGGCATCCGACACCTCCCGCTCTTAGCCCTGCCATTTTTTTGAGCGGGGTCAGACAAGTGAGGCCGACAAAACGTGTGATGTGGGCTCAACATTGCTTGCAACCTGTGGTGTAGAATCAACAGTGGGCCGCTACACTAACCGTAGTGGTTAGTGTAGTGTAACGCAGCGGAATCGCTGTTAGCGATTAGCATAGCGTAGCGGAATTCTGCCACGACACTGCTAATGCTACGCGTGTGGGCCGCAAAAAAGGGCCCACTACGCTGCGCTACAGCGGTTTTTAGCCGCTTTTTCCGCTAAAAGCGCTGTAGCGCAGCGTAGTGTAGCAAAAAACTGCTAAAAAACCGCTAACACTACGGTTTTTGGATGAAAAAAGCGCCGCTACGCTACGCTTTTTGGGCCAAAAGTGTAGTGTAGCGTAGCGGCCCACCGCTGCTACAGCGGTTTTTAGCGGTTTTTGGCCGCTTTTTCCGCTAAAAGCGCTGTAGCGCAGCGCAGCGTAGCGTAGCGAAAAACCGCTAACACTACAGTTTTTGGATGAAAAAAAGCGCCGCTACACTACGCTTTTTGGGCCAAAAGCGTAGCGGCCCACCGCTGGTAGAATTACCTGCAAGACAGCTGGATATCATTGCCTAATGACCCATCAGTCACCTTTTTCAAAATTTTCATTTCTTGTTGTTCTTGTTATTTCTTCTCTTGATTTTTATTTCATTTTTGTAGTGATATTTGAGATTTCCAAGAAAAAAAATCCTCAAAGGCCTCCTGTCAACTTTCTCAATTTTTTTTCTTTTTCATTTTTCTATCCTTATAATCATTTTTGAATGAGTGTGCTAAATATGAACTTCAAGACAAAGTGTCAAAAATATTGGGTGTCCCATTGTCCTGTCAAGCCAACCGGGTACCCGCGAGTGTGATCCGGGAAGCCTGAATTTGGTACCGGGATGTCGAGTACGCATACCTTTTTTTTTTTTTTTTTTTTTTTATAGTGCTATTGATTTCACATACCGCACTATCAATCTAACATGTGTTAAGTACATACAAAATCAGTACCTTCTAGAAGAAATGTATCGCGTCATGAAGTAGAGGAAGACGGGACTGTAACAGGACCCAGGAAAGCCCCTGTGGAACACAGTAACCAAAATGTATGAATGTTTGAGGCCACTTTGTCACACCAAACCACATCATATTGGCATGGTTCAAAATTGAGGATGGTGCTACAGTTCCCAAAAAATTCTGTACAGCTGTTTTCTAGGGTCGGTCTGAAGTTGGTGAGTCACAAAATGCAAAAAAGTGTGTTTTGAAAATGTATGAATTTTAAGGTTTGGCTGGGATTTTCGTTACTGTGTTCCACAGGGGCTTTCCTGGGTCCTACTGTAACCATGAAAAACATTTAGTGAGGTTTAGAAAAAGAAAGAAAGTATATTGCTATCTTGTAAAAACATATCCTTTAAAAGAGATATGCATACCTTGGTCGCCCGGATGGGTCATACTGGCGGGTACGGGGTACCCCGTGAGTTTCAGCGTCCGGCCACCTGCAACAAAGGAGTGCGGATGACGTAATCGAAGGGATACATTTGATGGTTTCCCTTCTTTTCTCCAAATCAGTCTCAACACAAACAATTTGGTGCTAACGATCCCAGGGAATGTCGAAACGACTTACGATCCGATTAAGCTATGATCTTGTAAGGTGAGTGATCGATGATCTTTGAAATCTTAACAGAGAGAACTGGCTGATAGAAGAGGCGTTCACCAAGAGCTGAAAATAACTTCTTGTGTGTTTATGATGTTCCCTATTCAAGTCCTTGGGTAAGTTGTGCCTATTCACTATGTATCAGTTCTTTCTCTGCGTCATACTGATTTTCCATTCGTGTTCTCCTACCAACTCGACCTGTGCGCCTTTTCTGAATGTTTTTTGTTTGGTTGGAATAATAAAAAAATAATTAGAGCTACTTTGCCTATGTCGTCTTGAAACGTTATCGTCCGATATGGGATTTCGAGCTGATTCTCAATCCAGTCTGGCTAGGCGGTACGACCTGTTTACAGTCAAATCTCGTGGTCGATGTTAAGCTACTGATCATTACTGGCCTGTTTCGTATTTTTGTCATGATTGGATGACACGGACAAACGTTGAACAGGCGTCATGAAGGGTAGCAAAAACACACCCCCATTCGTTGTACCTAATAAATGTGAGCATTTCCACATGCATATCAAACGGCTCACATAAGATCAACTATCCACAACAAGTTTAATGATTCTTCTTCGAATTATCTCTGAGAACTCGCCCTTTCTAGTTAAGAAAATGGTACACTTCAGTTTCCTACCTCTCTTCCATGTCTCGAGTTACCCAACCCATTGCAAATGACACTGGCCATCAACGAGCTCAAAAAACGGATTTTGTGGATCTGTCTGATTTTTATTGATATGGGATGTTTTCTTTGACGAAAAAACCCTGCCATGATTGCAGAATGAAGAGATTCCATTAGTGAGTGGTTCATAATTTTTTCCCACTTGACGACGGATGCGTTTAGATCAACAGAGTCATTAAAGCCAAGTTGAAAGAGGTATACTGAGAATCTAATCAACGACCTTGAAGATGTCTAAATTCTTCAAAGGTAGGTTCCACACACCAAACTATCTCGGATACGTATTTCAACTCAGACTGAGTTATCCTCTTGCTTCGATCAAAAAAAAAAAAAAAAAATCCAGTTAAATGTGTGATGCCGCGTGGACAATTTCCATTCAACACTTTGCCGATGATGCGATTCTTGAAGGTTGTTCAAGAAAAAGATCCGGGTCGATTAGAGGCTTCTACCGACAGATTATACGTAAGTTTTCCCCCTCCCTGTGATTAACATCCCCCTTTTTCCTGACAATAAATAAGAAAAAGCCGAGAAATCAGAAAAATTGACACTTATTCTCATGAAATTGACACACCCAAAAACAAACCCCTCTCTTCAGGAAGCAATCTTTGAGAATAAAGTGAAAGTAGCCGACAACCCATCAGGAGTCTTAGGATCATTATCACCAAGCGTATTAGATGCCTCTAGGGTAGAGGAGTATCGACAACAGTCGAGCAGTGAGGAGACGAAGGAGAAGGTCAAACGGGACGCCGAGCGACTTGTCGAGGAGGGCGCGTTCGGCTTTCCTTGGATCGAGGTATCTAGGCCGGATGGTCAACGATTGACGATCTTCGGCTCGGATAGATTTGAATTCTTGGCCGATTGGTTTGCGCGGTTTTCTTTCCCTCCCCTTTGAAATCCGCCTCATGCTGACTTCTCTTCTGTCTTAATCATTCTTTGTCTCATCACCTTCCCTACCCAACTCGCCTGATGCTTTTGAATCGATCAAGGCTTGGCCAAGAATGGAAAGGACCCAATCCATCATCCACAGAACCTACCAAAAGCCGTCTCTAGAGTGCAGTCGGTTTTCTTACTTCCACAGAGCAACCATAACTCGGAAGGTAGTGCTAGATTGAATTGCTTATCTTGTATTTCTATGGATCAGCTTATTGGGAGCGAACCTCACAATTAGAACATGTTCCCTTGTTAAATAAATAAAGATCATATCTAAATATGTCTACCCCTTAACTTGGTTGATACAATAATTGAACAAAATAGAGAAGAGAAACAAATCGAATGGTGAGTAACATCGTCATCGAGTTAGTATCACACTTCTCCCAGAAGCTGAAGACATCAGACATTACACAGAACCGAAAAACAGATTGATTGATGAATTCTAATTATCATTGGGTTTCTTTTGTGAATGAATTTGTTATTGGATGGTGAGCCCCAAGGCGAGATGCATCAGTCGAGCATCTACAACGTAGCCTGGTCTCTGATTAAACTGTTGGAGAGTTTTATAGAGAGATTTGAGAGGTACGAGTTCGACCTGGATATGTTCGCCTGTCCGAATAATTTCAGTTTTTATTTTGAGATTGAAATGGTGCAAGCAAGGCCAAGAGGGAAATCGGGTTCTTATTGATTGGTGCCCATGGATGCTTACCTTGCTCTTGTTGGGGCTCCGGAATCACATCCGCTCTGTCTAAGGAAACAGAGACTTTGGCCAAGACCATGTTGGCCGAACTCATCCCGGGATCATTCTGTGAGAAAGGAACACACATCCGGAGATCCCAAGGTCAACTCATCCAGGAGATTGGGGTGTGATTGTGGATTTGGATGACTGACGACCAGGATTTCGCTGATCTCCTCGACCTTGACCAGGCCGCCGTTAGGTCCATTTCCGTAGCCGGTTTCCTCACGCAATCTTCAGAAAGAGAGCGCGAGAAATCAGCGGTCAAGAATGAAAGAGATAGTGACTCATGTAGACGGACTCTCGCAAAGCAGCCGTCTCGGCGCTCTCGTTCTCGTCGATCAATCCGGCGGGCAATTCGACGACGATGCTGTTGACCGGCGGTCTGAACTGGAGCACCAGGATGGTCGAGAGCGGCAGTTGAGGCCTGGAGACCAATGTGAAGATCGCCACGGCTACATACATATTTTCGTCGAATCATCCATCACTATGAGCGAACATGGATGGATCTAGAGACGCACCATCAGGCTTGTCGCTCGCCGATTCTCCGGCCGTCTTGCGATAAGACCTGTCCAAGAAAGTTTTTATTTTCTGGAGGATATGAATGGAACGTATACAATAGATGGGGAAAGAGACATACGCTTCCCATCTGCGTTCCTTGCCGGTCTCGTCGATCCAATCGATCGACCTGAGCCCGATCCACTTAGCCTTTGAGTTTTCCAGGGGTTCGGAGTGAGTGACGGCCGCCGAGCCGAGGACGAAGGAAGGCCTCTTGTTATCATCAGTGCTAGTTGAGCTCATCATCGCAGTCCTCTTGGTCGGTTCTGATGGTCTAGTGTTCCTCGCCCAGCGTCCAGTCCACTTCGCTCGATAATTGCACCGTGCCCCAGACAGTCGGAGTCCGGGTGTGGTGAGTGGCGGGATCATGCGTGTGATCATGTTGGCCGTTCATTAGTCATCAGTTTACATTAATACATAAGCCTCGTCATCATCAGCTTCAGCTTTTCACACTTCACAGCTGCTCGACCCGAATGGGGTGAGTGGCTGACTAAACTAACCTCAACCGATCACACAGCACTCTTGTGCTCTCTTCCTGAGAACCGTCGAATTTACAGCCCCCTGTAAAGCTATTTTTACAAGCTCGTGAAACCGTTTTCCCAGCGAAAAATTAGCTTTACAGCCTGTAAATCTAGCTTTACAAGGCCTGTAAAACCCACGGGAAGTCCTCCAATATGTATCGTGATTCTTTTCACTTGTGAAAAAAAATGGACTGCTTCTTGCATGAATCACTTTGATGCGGAGAAACCGGCGATCCTATTCGCACATTTCGCTAGATTGACAACCGTGGGCGTCTTCTAATGGTTAGGAAATCTCGTTGTGGTCTGTCCAATTCCGTGAAAATGTCGGTTCGATTCCGGCCGCCCACAAAGAATTCAATTTTTTCCTCGGCCCCCGGCCGGAACCATGCCGGACGGACGAGAGCTTTTGGATTCATCTTGGGTTTTGCCAAAACGAGTCTGCCAGTTTTTTTTTTGTGAGGGGATTGGCTAGGAATAATTTGGGGGGATGGCTAGCAATCATTTGGGAGGATGGCTAGCAATCATCTGAGTTTCAGAATGAGGATCTAAATATCAATGCCTTTTTGCTTCTCCACCCTACATCTTCTGATAACTTTCGAGACTCCTTCCCAGACTCAGTCTATAAAGATTGACCATAAAGCATCACCAGTGGAAAAAACCACTCGCACAAAAACACTCAATGGAATGAATATCAATCAATTGTTGCCTCGACTAACCCTCAGGAAATGAACGACTGATGATCCAGAAAAAAAAAAACATGCATCTGAGAACAAGGCCAACATGAATGTATGGACAAAGGAAGGGGAAGAGATCACAACATGTTCCGAATCAACCGAGTGAAAAACTTGACGAAGATGCCGACATGAGCCTCCTTCTGATCGTCAGGTTGGACATGGCGTTTGAGATGACCCAGTTCGTCGACGAGTTGATTGGAAAGCGATCTACCGTCCAACTGACGATTATCATCATCTTTGGGCTGCTCAGAAGGATGAAGGTGGTTGTCGAGGACGATGAAGAGGTTGCATTCTAGGTCCCTCTCCGCAGACCGACGGCCATAGTTCGATGAACCAATGCTCGTCACTATACATCGCTCTTCTTCTCCTTCCTCTTCACTGCTTCTTCCTCTTCTGACAATCCGGTTGATCCAAAGCCCTATCAAAAGTTATTCAATAAGAGTCAGATATTCAATCATCCGATTTCCTTTTTCTTTCAATTGGGTTCTTTAGATTCAAATGAACAGTTGATTTGGGAGGGGGGGGGGGGGATACCTTTGGCATGATAAGTCCATCCGATTCGATTCCATCGTCGAATTATTATTTGATCTTCCTTCTTAGATTTCCGAATCTCATTGCGAAATAAGTTTTCTAAATAACTATAAGCTGGAGGTATATATTTGGAAACCCCATTGGACCGATAAAATCCATTTGCCTGTTTATTTTTATCAAGAATGGATGAAAAGAAAAGAGGAAACCAAAAATCGGTTTATTTTTCAAGTGTTTTTTTATCCAAAAAAAAAAAAAAAAAAAGATGAGATGACTGACTTGTGGTGATGCGGTGATGATCTCTACATGAGCGTTAGACGATAACATGTGAGTTTTGTATTCTCTAAGCAGACTGAAATAGCCACTAGTCCAATTCAAGACAGTTTTCTCATGGACGGGGGTAAGGGGATGGAGGGCTTGGAGATGGAGAGGAGGAGGAGAGGAGAGCTGGTGGACAAGGTTGATAAGTTTAGGGATCACCAACGCAGTTTCGTGATTGATCTTAAAAGGGCTGATTTGGAGGGTAGGGAAGATGGAGGCCTGGGGTACCAGCTGATCGGACTGCTTGTCAGTTTGGTCAAGCCGTCCTAACTTGTGTCGCCATCGGTCCGTAAAGCCCGTGTAGAGCTCATGGGCGGTCGTCTTGAACTGCTGGGAGGCCCGTCGGGAGCCGATCGGCGGCTGACAGACGTTCGTCGACGGCCACGCAATCTTCAACCCTTCCACACAGTCCTCTTCCGAACTCCGAACTTCCTCCTCCATTCGGTACGAGATCCGGCTGGTCAGCTCGATCAATTCATATAGATACTCGCTCAGATGCTCTTGGCCTGTTAACTTGATATATCGGTCCTGTCGGTTGGTGAAATAATCTGAACTCAGATTGGCCCTAGTAGAGATGAAAAATGAAGGTAAAAAAACAAATGCATTTTGTTAGTGGGATATGAACTCAGTCCAGGGTCCCGAAACGGGCAGAGTGGAAAAGGGTGTGTAGGTGTGTGTGTGTGTGTGAATTGTGGGGGGTTGATAATGTCTCCCTACCCACTCATAATAACATCCTGATCAGCCCCATAGATCTTCATATGTTGCAACCCGAATGCCTCATCGAATCTTCGGGGGACGAATCGTTTGAGGATTCCGAACAGCTCGGAAGTGTGGAATAAGCGGATTTCGACTTGGTCTGGAAAGCGGATCTTCAGTGTCCTCAACAGACTCGCCGAACACTCTCTCGTCCGACCATGCTCTCGCGTCGATCGTAAGTAATCGACTAGGATCGTTAGCTTGATCTCCTTGTTCGTTTCTAATGCTTCTCGTAGGGCTTCAATCTGTTTTTTTTATACATTTTGCTTCAGTCTCATGATATTTTTTTTTGTCAGTAATATGACCACTTACCAAATTTCTTTCTTCTTTACCAACGTATAAACTAGCGATAAATATTCTCTTTTTGGCTCTACCGATCAGATTCTACAGTTTGCGATCCACAAGTTCTAAGTCAGTTTGGCGAGCTCAGGAAAAAGAGAGAGAGAGAGAGAGACGAGCTGACTGACCAATAGTTCGAGATAGAACTGCGAAGGTTCTTTGAGGACTTTGATTGCGTTTTGAGGAGATCTGAAGTGCGGTAGATGGGTTGATAAGTCCTTGACGAGCCGATCGAGTGCTCGGTGATCTCTTTCCTCGTGAGTAGTCTCGGTCGAAGGTGGTGGTGGTGGTGGTGTGTTGTAGTTTCTCTTCAGATTCGACCTCCTTGTTGCTGCTATTAAGCTCGGCCTGATGGCTCTGGTTGGATTGCTAGCCTTGAGCTGATGAAGCCTCATTTCTTCCGATTGCTTGGGTTGGCTTTAACTAATTCTCGGTGATCCGTGGCTGCCCCTGGGTTGTTCTCCCCAAGCTCGGCCATTTCCCAACAGGTGTCACCCTCCCGGGCGAGGGCAAAGAGATCAACCTCAAGAATAATCATCCAACCTCTGAATATTTGTAGCACACCTTCTCAATCACATCCCATCCCTCATGACCCGCACCGTGAGGAAAAATGTGAATATCTCAACCTTCCTGAACTCTGTGGAAATTTGAAGGCTCAGAATGCCGCCGACGAGCCCAATCCCGTTAGATCATTGAAATCATATTCTTTGCAACACCATGACTCATTGACCGCTTCGACATGATTACAGACATAAAGCTCATTCAAGGCCGGTCATCGGGAGTAACTTGAATCCAAACGCTGCATTCGAAATCTCTGGTCTGGTATATGAACCCGGTCAAACATTGATCCAAGCCGTGTACTGGGCTTTTGGTTTCGACACTACAATTGAGCCAATCCATCTGATTGTCGCCCGGCAAACTATCAACCTAATAGTTTCAGTTCTGAGTTGCTGTAACCTGAGGCTGCAGCCCCAGACCGAAAGGCCGGTCGACGGCTGGCGACACTTCGTTCCCCACTCTGAGCCCCGCAAAGGGTAAACTTAAGGGTTAACGCTGACAAGCTTTGGTCTGCCTGTCGAGGTTGCGGTTGCCGAACTCCGAAATGGCTCCGTAAAACATCACCCCGATTACCTTGGACTGGCTGTCAAAGTGCAAGGCCTTCTAATCAAGCCTTCGGGGCTCCATTAACTCGAGTCCTGCGGTTTTGTAACTTAGACACCTTCCGGCAAAATCTGCTATCAGGCCTAGAATCCGGAGTATCAATTAATAACAGACCAATCTTTCCTGCTCAACATAGCCGGGACGCGGCTTCCATGACTGTACGACTGTTCGGACTCAAATGCTTTTTGTGAGTAGCTTTTAAGCAGGACCAAATCATGCGCGAAAACAAATACCCATGGAGCGTAGTACCGCTTTATATATATATATATATATTGGTTGTTCGCAGGACATGGACATGAGGATGTGCCGATGACAACTTATCGGGAGCTAGTTAAACATGTTTACCTCAACAGTTATTGTCCGCTAGTTGACTTACGACTGCACTTTTGTGAAGGAAAGCGGAATGCTCCGGTCATTCACACCGATCATCATTCGAAAACAAAAAAGGTACTGCCATCGTCATCTCTCGACTGCGCACAGTGTCTATGTTGTCAAAACTGATCCCTCAGAAACATGGATAAGCTCAAGCAGAGATTGCAATGTCAGCAGCCGATGAGCGAGTTTCAAAGCATGTTTCGAACAAAAATTCAACAAACCATCGTTTGTCTGCGTCTACATATCAGAGCTCGGATCATCCTTGGAGGGTCTTGCCTGTGAGGCTCGACCCTGCCATAAATAGCTATAAGAATACTGCTCAAAATCCAGGTTGATTTCCAGTGCCAGTACCACACTGAAATAGCCATTCTTCAGAGTACATCAACCACATAAACGTCTATTTTAGATTAAATTTTACTGTCATTGATTCACTATGCAAGCCTCATCAATCCTCTGTTGTTTGGCTTTCTTGGCCCTCACTCATCAAGGTGTGCTTTCGATGCATGAAGCAGGCAGCAGTGCTAGTAAGGCTAAGCAAGCTGGAAAAGCCCCGAGTAAGCTGAAGTGCAAATATATTCTTTATATCTTAGCAACCCACTGATTCATGATAGAGAAAAATTATTTAACCAAATGTACCTTTTCTTTGTGCTGTTGTGGTACGTCACGCTTTTTTTTACAGTGGAAGCCCCACCCACCCCGGCCAGGTCGAGTGGAGTGCCTGGTAGCAACCCGAACTCAGTAACTGAGGCATTTCGTATGATCTTGGATTCACCGAAGGACACTGACATTAGCGGTCATCAAAGCGGCGGGCCTAGCGGATCAGGCAGTTCTAGTGGAAATGACGCAGGTAGTAGCGGGAGCAGGAGTGGTGGTGGCCATGGTAGACGCTAAGGACAACTGCGCCAAAAGAACACATGAAGACCTCTTTTATCATCTAACCACAAGGAATTAAAATCCACATAACTGTGCCGGATAATCAATGGTATTATGTTCTGGAAAACCCAATACACATTAAACTTTGACTCCTTATCCACAACACTTTATAAATTTCCTTGGGTTTTTGTTGCTGAACTTCATTGCTACATAGATCCATACCTTCTCTTTTATGAATTTCAAAATAAACATACCAATATTATAGAATGTATTAATCTTGAGTATAACATGTCTTGTGAGCCTAGATCTTGAAATTAGTGAAATCAGGACACAAGGATTTGGGGTGCACATTTCTATGTATTTCTCATGGATAAGGAAATAAATATAGACTAAGAGGAAGGGAGAAATAAAGGGAAAGAAACAATGAATTTTTTATTGTAATTTTTTATTGTTTACTCCTTTTCAAATATTATGATCAAAGTTTGATGCTGTCTTACTGTTGGATTATTGCTGGTTTGACAATTTCAGATTGATGATGTCATTCTTCAATGAGATCACTTCAAATTGGAAGCAATAATAAAACATCTTTCCTTTGATCAGTTGACTTTTGCTAGGTCTTTCCCTTTTGAATTCTTTTCTTTTCTTACTTGAACTCAAACTCTCAGCCAGATCAATCAAGATCAATCATTCAAACTAGCATATTGCCGCCTTTAGCAATTTCATATCAAGATCAATCAATCATCTTCATCATCCTTCAGTCTGGGTGGTACTATCAGAGGTTCTTATTTCTTTATTGTACTTATTTCTCTTCTGGTTGACCAAGATTGTTTCTAAGTTATTTTTTATATTTTTGAAGCCTATTTTTCCTAGTTGTGGTGGTGGAATTCTTTTTCTTGTTTTTATATTCTCATCCACAACTTGTTCCTGTTTTGATTAGTTATTTCTGTTTTAATTTATCTATCTTCTTATTCATTGTCATAATTATCTTTTTCTTACTGAAATACTATTTTTGTTAGCCTAGTTTTATCAAATACCATCCTTTAAGGATGTTTGTCTTGTGACAAATAAATATACAACTCCTGCTCAAAAGAAACTGAGCAGAATAATTGGTATTTCTAAATCAATCCACCTTTAAATTTTTGTATCTACAATGCAGGATCTTTGAAGGACAAACTATTTTTTTTAATCACCAAAAAAGAGAAGATTGAAGAGAATAGGTTTGATTAGGTGATTGAACAGAGAATTCAGTGAAAGAGGTCTAAAAGAAATAAAGTGACTGGGTAATTCAATAAGACAGAGAGAAACAAGCTGACTTATAACAGTGACTTGTTTATTTTTAATCCTGACCCTGGTTGTTGGGAAAAGTTTGATAGTTGAGGTACTTCTTGATAGGTGAGCACTTGCGTGATATTTCTAATTTGAGCAGGTATTTTCTGGTGTAGTTGGTTTTGAGTGAGTCTGAACCTTTAAAATATTGAAAAAGTGAACTTACTCCAACTTAACTAAGTTGCCTCCCTACAGGCCTAGTTGTACAGGTTTTATTTTGCCAAAAGTAAAGAGAGCCTTACATATACCCTGACACCCTTGGGTATTTTTGTGAGTTTTTGTGGAAAACAGATTGAATCCCCAAATGAACCTCCTTCCTATTTCCTTGGCCCACAAGGGCACCCTTTGAGCCATTAGATTCCTTAGGACTTTCTGAAAGATCTGATGTGCTTGGAGTTTTGAAAATGTTGTTAATTTTGACATCATGAAATAAAAATGATCACTTGATGACATATGACATTATTCCACTATTATGGGGATTCTCATAAATTTTCAATGGCCAATTGTGCAGGGGGGCAGATCAAAACAGAAAACATATCCACCTGAAATGGAGACAAATATGAAGCACAAATCTTTGGAGAGTAATTCATCATTTATGCTGTTGCTGAGGGGGATACCAGAAAAATTCACATGTGAATTCATAGGTTTGGTTATGTCCTGCTTTGAAGTTCTTGTCAGTGTGGTTTCAGACTGACATTTGTGTTCAGATGTGTATAAAGAGTCTGGAAATGAATCTTCACTGTTTGGACTAGAAAGAGTCTAGGAGAGAAAACTTCTATGAACCTGATATGAATTGATAGCTCAGTAGAAGAATGTCAGAGTTCTCTACTGAGATAGGAAAGAATGGGGCCAGCAAGAATTGACATAGGATGTCAAGTTTGGACTGACATAATCCACTGTGAAATTTATGGTGAAAGCTTGTGGGGGGGTTTTACAATATGTCAACCAAAATTGGCTCTATTGTCTCATTTGCCCAATAATAATGCCATAAAATCCTTCAGCTTCAAAATACTGTCCAATTATCAGCCTGCAGAGTGTCAGATTGGATGAACAAATACCTGCATCCCTTGGACCCCATTTGACAGTGAAATGATAAAACCTCACCAGATGTCACAAGAATTTGCAATATATTTCTTACAAACAGAGCCTCAGGCTTGTATATAAAAAGGGACTTATTTAAACGACTCCCAAAATTTGGAGTTCCAACTCCCAAATTTTTGGGACGTCCAGAGGACTGTCTGCGGATGCCTCTGGTGCAAGCATCAGGCCCCTGAAATTTCTTTCCCCCTGTTTT